GCTGATGGAGGTCAAGGACTGCAGCCTTCAAGATGGAATGCAACTGGCGGCAAAGATGACCCCAATCCTGATCACTGGACCAGTAGATAGCATCATGATCAATGAGAAAATACTGAAGCGATCGAGGATTTCATCTTGCTCGGATCCACAATCACTTCTCCTGGAAGCCACGGTCAGGAGACCACAAAGTGTTGCGTTAGGTAAATGCGCTGCACAAGACTAATATGTTACTTCAAGGACTCCGGTGTGGCTGACCTGAGCCATGCTATTTTCAGTTGCCTCAGAAGCGTGTAAAAGTTGGACGTTGACTTAAAAAGACTGAAGGAAAACCACTGCATTTGAACTGTGGTGCTGGCGAAGGATATGGAAAGTACCGTGAACTGCCCAAAGGACAAACGGATCTGTCTTGGAAGTACAGCTGACTGCTCCTTAGAGAAAGCTGTGCCTTGAGGTCACCGACTTTGGACATGTTATCCAGAGAGATGAGCCCTGGGAAGGACATCATGCCTGGAAAAGTGGAGGGGCAGCCGAAAAGAGGAAGGCTCTGGAGGCGAGGGATTGACACCATGGCTGCGACAGTGGGTTCAAACACAGCGCCCTTTGTGAGGGTGGCGCAGGCCCGGGCAGGGTGTCCTTCTGTTGTACCCAAGTCGCAGAGGCAGAACAGACTCAGTGGCATCAAACACCACCACCGATTAACTCAACACCTCCACCCCAGTGAGTCTGACCACGGCCCAGCACTCTCCACTCGTCACCTGGAACGCTCTCATCCCGCTCCTCTGGATCTTGCTTGGAGCCTTTGCGTGGAGTGACTGCAGGTGACAGAGTCAAACTGCCCCAGAGGGTTTCCCAGGCTGCCATCTTGACTGGAACTGATTGAGTCTTTCTGGAAGGTGCTGGGGGATGCAAACCACCAACCCTGAGATAAGCAGCCTGGGACTCTCCTCCTCCTGCTCCGAAGGCCATCTAGAGCAGTGGCGTCCTAGAGAAATACAGCAGATGACACATGAGAGATGTTTTACAGATGCTTTTTAAGAGGAGCATTAAAAAAGTAAAAAATCTTAAAAATCAACGTAATTTGACTAATGTATTGGGGGCACAAGGGAGGCTTCAAAAAGTTCATGGGAAAAATAGAATCAAAAGATAATGGAATATTTCCCACCAGCTTTTCAAACCCCCTCCTATTCCCTTTAACCTGGTGTATCCAAAAACATGTAATGAATATAAATGTTATTAATAAGGTATTTTCTTCTTTAAACAATCAGTGTCCATTTTCCACTTAAGAGACATCTCAAGTGCTGACTAGCCACCGGGGACTAGCCCTGAGAAATGAGAGCACGCAGGTGCAGCACAAGCAGGTAACTCTTGAGAGGTGCTCTGAGAGGTGGCGAGGTCCCACAAACACCGGCTAACGCATGCTGACTGTTGACAGTGTGACGGCCACTACTCTCCTTAAGTTGTGCTAGGCTGAGGGTAAGCAGAGCTCATTGAGCCTCTAGGCAGCCATGCAGTAGATGAGAAAGTTATCGCGTAAAGATACTAAATCACAGCTTATCAGTCAGTCTTTGAGCCAGGATTTGAACTCAGCTCTGTCCAGCTGCAGCGCGTGCTATCACTGTCTATATGTGGCCTCCCACGTGGAAGCCGTCAGCAAAGATCTGCCTTCTCTACCAGGTCCTAGAAGGGCGTGTGAAAATTCAGCAAGGTGAGACACTTGTACAATCGCTGAAGAGTAAGAAAGGCCA